TCTTTTAATTCTTTCCATGTATACTTTCGTGCCTCTTCATTAAAATAATAATACCCAAAGAAATGAAATCACGAGAGTCGACACTTTCCTCCTTAATAAGAGAAGAATCCTATATTTTCTCAAATGGTTGCACATCTGCTTCTCATCCCCACTAAGGGATGCCTTCTCCACAGCCGCCTGAATCTAATCTCAGCCCTCTTGTTGGTGCAACCTTCCCAGAACTGCTTCCTGTAATACCCAGCTACTCTGGGAAGACCACCATTTTTCTCCCTTGCAGGCACAAAATATTAGGGTTGTCACTGATTTTTCCTCACACATTTCCTGTCACCTGGATTTGCCTAATCCTGCCCTCCTGAACCCCAATGCAATTTCTTCCTCACCACTAATCTGAATCCTATTCTTGCTCATTCCAAATAATTCACCATGATTCTCTCTCTTTGGATTCCCTTGCCACTTGCATGTAGTCTGAATATACTGCCTTAAAATTATCTCATGTATCTTCTTTATTAGATTTAAAGTTCTCAAGGCAGAGATCAAGATTTCAATATTTTCTTATATAACCCCCACTGAACTCTTGCCTTCAGCAGGCCACTTATGACCTCTTTACCTCAATTCCAAATGCGGATAATATCTATCTTTGCCTGTTCTCAAGGATATGGAGAAGATCAAATAACTAAATGTATATAAAGAACTATTATAAACTATGAGGTGTTGTACCAGTTCACACATTTAAAAAAATGATGTCAAAGTGAAAAAATATTTCTGTATAACCATGGGAGTCTTCCTGCCGCCTTCTATAAAGTAGCTCAAACTTTATGCTAGTCCATTATTTGGCTATATAAAAATATACCTTATATTTAGAAACACATTTTTTAGTAACATTTCTGTAGTGAAGATTTATAACATTTTTAGTTAGAAATTATTTCCAAATATTTTTATATGCACCAAAAAACACCTAGAAGATATATCAACATGTTAACAGGAGGTAGGGGATAATTTCAGTTTTCCTCTTTATATTTTTCTGTATTTCTAAACTTCCCTCCAATGAACCTATACTAGTTTTATAATTTAACAAGAAATTTATCAAAAATGTGATTCATCTACTTTATCCCAACTTGGAGAATATTGATATTTTATATTAAATTGCTATTAAACAATTAGAAAAAGTTTAGTTTTTTGAAACTTAGAACATTTTGAAAGATCACTGTAAGTTTCTCTTATGCTGCTAGTTGACTAAAATGTTTTGCATTTTGCTGTAACAACAGGGAACCCTTAATATAAGTTAAATCATGTGTACCTAGTTCAGCTATAGCAAATTATGTAAAATATATTGAAAAAATATATTGAAACACAAACAAATACCAATAATGTGATGCATCAGAATACTCTATTTTTGGATCTATTTATTTTATCGCTTACTTTCTAGTTTTGGACACTATGTGGAAATGCCCTAACTGCCAAAAGAGGGATATTCGGCAAAACGGGCGATCTTCAGACCATCCTTTGCCTTGCATGTGCCAAAGAAGACATCACCTACTCTGGTGCTTTAAATGGCGACATCTATGTCTGGAAAGGGCTCAATTTAGTCCGCACCATTCAAGGGGCACATAGTGTAAGTATTCCCATATGGAAATTGGGTATGAATTATTAAATACGGTCATAAATCTATTTTTTCCTCCATTTCTTTAGGATCAGTTGACTCTGCTGAACACTCCTTAAACATTTATGAAAAGATTTCCCAAATTATTCTTGTTCACCTAAAAGCAACATTTCAAAAGTGTAATAACTTAATTAGCCTTCACCTCAATTATTGATTGGTTGATTACTGTTGTTATTTATCAACAGGAGCTCGATAGACAACCAGAGCTATTTCATCATCAGTTTCATCTTATAGACCAGCACTTCTCAAACCTTAATGTGCCTACAAATCTCCTGGAGATCTTGTTAAAATGTGGATTGTGACTCAGTGGAGCTGGGATGATGTCACTGCTGCTGGCCTGTGGCCCATTCATTAAATAGCAAGGGTAGAGACAACTATAAGAACAAAGCATGCTAAGTGAAATAAGCCAGACAAAAAAGTTGAAAATCACATGATATCACTGATATGTGGGATATAAACCTAAAAGCAACAAATGAACAGGACAAACAGACTCATGGACATGGACAGTAGACTAGTGGTTACCAGAGGGTAGGGGGAGGAAGGAAGTAGATGAGGTAAAAAGGGGTCAAATATGTGGTGACAGAGAAATCTATGAGAGGTGAACACACAGTGTAAATATATATATGCCTTACTGTTAAGTGTACAGCTGAAACTTACTGGATTTCGTTAACCAATATCACCATAAAAAATTAATTAATTAAAAAATAAAGAACGAAGGCAAAGAATAAGGGCAAACTTTACTTCTAACCACTCTGCTCAATTTTGACATATATTAAAATGTTTACATTGCTGTGTCAACCAAGCTAAAATGGAAATGCCCAGAAGAATGAGGAGATGATGTGAAAGGTAAAGCCTATTTTAGTAAATGGAAATGTGGTAAAATGTTACTGGAAACTTGTCAGACCTTAGCTCATTGCCTCATATTGATTCCCTATTACTGAAAGGAAAAGTTTAAGCAACTGTTAGCAAGAGCTATGAAATTTTAGATATTTCATTGTCCTGTATGTTGGCTTGACTGACTATGAAATCGCCCTTAAAACTATTAAGAGATCAGTATTGTCCTCATTCATAAGAGCATCTGCCTTAGTAACTTAATTTCTCTTTAAACTGGATCTTATGTCAACATTATACATTTGTAGCACTTTTAAATGGACCAAATAAAATATTTTCCTATAAAAAATTGTTATGAAACTATTTCAATGAAAAAGCATCTTCAAATGATGCTTAACAAACTAATGCAAATGTAATTTACGCTTTCAAGGTGGTGCCTTCTTAAGCTCATTGACATACATTTCATGCAGGCACCTTTGTACCTGAAAAAGTGTTTATGTTCGTAGCCTGAATATTATGATTATTTGGGGCAGAATTTTTATGAAACACCTCCATTGTTTCCACCTTCTTACTTTTCTTTATAATGATCAGTTGTCACATCTTTTCTTTATAAATATCACTTGTCAAATAAAGGAATTTATGATTTCCATATCTGCTTTAACCAAGGAATTCTGAGTAAGTTTTTTACAACCTGCTATCATATTAGTAATGGCAAGGAAGCACTTGAACTAGTTTGTTTTGATGGTTACTATGATTAATTTTTAGTCCAGATAAATTGAAGGATACTATAAATGGCTACTTGTCCTATTGTCAGGATTTCAATGCAGAACATGGAATTTTTTATTTTTGTTTTCAATTATCAAGATCCATTATATTAATGACTATTTAGAATGATGGCAGCATTGAGTAATATCTGCCTTAATTAACAGGCTGGAATCTTTAGCATGTATGCTTGTGAAGAAGGCTTTGCTACTGGTGGACGAGATGGATGTATACGATTATGGGATACTGATTTCAAACCAATAACCAAAATTGATCTCAGGGAGACAGAACAAGGATATAAAGGTAATATATATATAATACTTCCCCATAACTCTAAGAATATTAAGTATAAGATCAAGTTCTATATTTATATCTTGTCTCTGTACCCTACTTCATTCCATAAATTTAAGCCAGTTTACATAAATATATTACACAAAATCAGAAGTCTGTTAAGGATAAATGGGTATCCCTTTTTTCTAATTTGTACAATGGTATCTGTATGTACTAGCAATGGTCCTGCTGCAGAGATAAATAACATAAGGATAAAACTGCTGAGTGGTATCCTGGGAAATGGGATTTTTATTTATAAAAACAGGGAAGTTGTGTATAAGTTGGTAATCCTAAATGTGACTACACCCAGCCTCTGAAAATAAACAAATGATAGGAAAAACAAAGAAGTTATTTATAAAAATAGCTTTAAAGTAATAGCTACTGTGGTAGTAGAAGTTAAGAGTGTGGGCTTAGCGTCACGGGGCCTGGATTCAAATCCAAGTTTTACCTATAATAGATATGAGACGTTGGTCAAATGTCTTCACATCATTGGGCCTTAGTTTCCTTACCTATAAAATGAAGATAATACTAGCACCAACTTCATAGAGTTGTATGAGGATTAAATACACTTGCAAAATGCTTAGGCTAAGTCATGGTGCAGAGTCAGTGCTCAAATAATGTGAGCTGTTATTACAATATATTGAGTGTGTGTACATACAAAGCAGTTTACATACATTTCTAAAAATTATCAGGATAAGCTTATTACCACATTTTTACAGATAAAGAATTTGTAGGAAAGATAAGCTGAAGTCACATGTGACGTTAGTACACTAAGTACATGTAGGGAGCTCTGTTCATTTGCTACAGGTGGGCCCCAGACTTGGTTCTTGGTTCCTGCAGTCAGTGCTGAGGGAGGGGTTCTCGGCACCATGGGTAACGACATCCACAAGATAAAAACTTATTGTTCAAGTGAAGGGGAATTACTCCCAGTGCTGAGATGAAAAAAATTTCCTCAGACTCTTCCTAGAGAGGATCTTGTGACAATAGACCCCAAGTTCTCGAAAGACCTAAAGTGAGCTATTACTCGTAAGGTTGTTTTTCCCTGAAGTCCCTCCATGTGGGCTGATGGCAGTGTGGCCACAGAGGTTCTCCCATTGGCCGAATCGTGTGGCCGTGCTCAGAGCTCTCTGCTGGCTGGGGGTAGACTCCAGAGGACTGAGAGAATGGGAGGAGAATGCACAGACTTCCTGTGTTTCAGGTCATCCTCCTTAATTAATGCTGTTTTCAACCAAATCTTTTTAACAAATTGAGCAACAAGTGATGGGCTTAAGTACAAATTGGTAGTTGCAAAATAGTCACGGGAATGTGAAGTACAGCACAGGGAATATAGTCAATCATACTGTAATAACTATATGTAGTTCCAGGTGGGTACTAGACTAATTGGGAGTCACTTTGTAAATTATATAAATGTCTAACCACTATGCTGTACACCTGAAACTAATATAAAATAATATTGAATGTCAACTCTAATTGAAATATAAAAATGTTTTAAAAATTGAGCAACAGGGAAGTGAGCTGGATGTTGTACTTTCTATGTGTACCCAGAGTCCAGTTGCTTTAAAATACCTGTTAAATACAAAAAAAAAAAAAAAGTACTTATATTTAGCTAGTCTAGAGATTGGATTGATACTTTCTTAGGGAACCCCGGGATCCCAATGTGGATCCATTTCTGAATACCAGGCACAGGGGTTGACATAGGAAGTTGTAGAATTTAGTGTCCACTTTAGTGCATCAACAAGGAGACAAGATCCTTAAGTTCTCTGCCACAGAGTGTGGGCCAGTGTAACTTTACCCAGAAAAATATTTCAAGCAGATATAAGTAAGCAAGCACCCAAAGAGCAATGTAAAAATTGTTGGTAAATCCATCAAAAATGAACTATGAAACTTTAATGTAAACAAAACATAGTTAGATAATTTACTAGATGGGATCATTAACCATAAACTGGCTAGATGTTGGGAAGCATCAAAAAGTGATGATTCCTTTTTTTGCAGTCACTTTATCCAGCTCATCCAAAAATTATATCACCCTCTCTTCTTTATGACCAGGAGTGTGTCCCCATGGCTAGGGACACCCTCTGTTTTGTATCAGTCTCAACAGATTCCTCCACACACTCCCTTGCCGAGATCAGAGCACATACGGGTGGTGCACAGACAGGAAAGCCTGCCTGCACCTCGAGCATATGGCCCATAGCACCTGGGTGTACAGTTTATCAGTGGAGGGCTCGGCATGGATGACCAGTGGGACAGTAGCCTATATTTTAGATGGACGATCAATGGGACAATAGCGTACATTTCAGAAGGAGTAATGGACTGTGCTTTTGAGGAATTGTACAGCCCATGCTGCAGTTTGAGCCCAAGGGAGCCATGAGAAGCGGCACTGTTCCTCAAATGGCAGCCATTTTCTTGCCACCTGCTTAATTTTTGTTCACTAGCAGTACTCTTATTTAGTTAATATGTTACTTTAAATTGATGTTAATACATCTTTTTCTCTTTTTTTTATTTCTTATACGCATATCTGTGAAATTATGGCTTTAATGTAATATGCTTATTTATATATCTATATTTTACTCATTAAAGTAAGTTCTAACTACTGAAATGATAAATTTTGTCCATGTAGCATCTCCTTGTCAGTAGTGCCTTTGCTATTATACAACTCCATTATGTACTACCAAACTTCCAAAGAAATGCTGGCATTTGTTCCAGCAAAAAAAAAAAAAAACAGGATAAATGTCTAGAGTCAAAAGAATGAAAGGCTCCTGGGTGAAGTGTTGGTAATAACCCCAAGTCTGACCAAAGTTCTTGAGCCAGCGTGGACAGGACCGGGCAGGGGAAACATGCTCTGATCCTGAGTCACCCTCAGAAATGCTCTTTTCCCTCCATTCAGGCCTTGATGCCATCATCACACCGAGGCAGGGAAGGAAGCTGTTGAATTCAGAGGCCACCTAGCACAGCTAAGAACAGGTAGACATTCTCAGAACAGGCCCTCTCTGTGATGGTCTCTGAGGCCAGCTGCTGGGATCACCGTGTGACAGGGGTGTCCTTTAGGGCATGTGGAAGTAGGAGTGGGGCCAGAGTGAGATAGGAGACCCAGCACAAATATAGGGATTAAATTAGTAGGATTTGAGGAGAGGAGTAAAAGTAATTGAAATATAGTTTTCTGGTCCAGCTTTCCCTTCAACCAGCCAATACATTACCCTTGATCCTCTGAGCATTTGCAGAGAGTATGAGGTAAAGAAGAGTGAAGGAAAGGGAAGGAAAGGGAGTGAGAAAAGGATAAAACAGAAGAAGGCAGAGTGGACAGAAGTTTGGGTATAATTAATCCCGTCCCCGAAAGAAGTCTTGGCTTTCTCCTGCGTCTTCATGCTTTTTGTCTCAAAAACGGGAACAGTATATTTATAAGGAGCAAGTTCAAGCAAAGCATTGTTAGAACTGTCTTGTTCTGGATTTGGACATAATGCTTCATGTATGAAGAGTTTTTTTCTTATACGGTTTTCTTAATATAAATGAGCCTTCTTCCAATTTTCACTGTTTGTATGACAATGACTGTTGAATTCATTTCCATGGAAATGTAGTGATTTCTCATTTTACTCAAACAGCCAAACAGTTTTCTAAACAAATTTATCAAGAAAATTAATCATGGCCATGTCCCAATTCCCATGACATAGCACTGATGTTCTATGTTCCTTAGATTTAAATGTATTAATTAAAATTCAGAAACTGCCACTTATTAGCATTTGGGAATCCAAATCTATTTGTAAAGATCACACTCAGAGGCATACCTCGTTTTATTGCACCTTGCTTTATGTACCTTCACAGATGTTGTGGTTTTTTTTTACAAATCAAAGGTAAAATCTTCCACCAGCAAAAAGGTTACGACTCGCTTTATTGCAATTCTTGCTTTAATGTGGTGGTCTGGAACCGAATCTGCAGTATTTTCGAGGTATGCCTGTACTCAGTATGTTACCTGTGAAGACTTCTGTTGCCTCTCCTGTAGACTTCTAGAAGATCTACAAAATAATTCTGGCAGTTTCCACATTGTTTTATACAAATCTGATGAAGATTACATCTCTTAATAACTATTCACATCTTCTAATAACTTCTAATTGCTACACATTGAGAGAGAGAGAAGTTTTTAGATAACCCATGATGAACGCTAAGCTCAGGAAGAAACGGTATTATAGCTTTATTATAGAGAGAAAGTGTTGGTCAGTTCTCTTACATCTTTGTAGTTAAACTTAAGCTAATTAAGACATTTAACTTTGTAGTTAAACTTAAGCTAATTAAGACATTTTACTTCCAGTGAAAACAACTCACTCTGCTTTAGGTTGAGGGTGAACCAATTTGGAGATGGGTCATGCTCACATCAACAAGAATCAGAGCTGATTTTTAGAGCTTTCTTCCCAAGTCTTGGTCAAAGAAAATGGCCTCCCTAAGCCAGGAGGACTATCCCCTCAATCAAGTAAATAATAGTGTTTTCTTTACACCAGTGACTTGTACATCTTTTGGTAGTTACTAGATTTTTGATGACTGGTTAGTCTGCAAACAAGTTTTTGCTAACAACACTCGATAATAGAAACCAACAACTTAATTTGTCCAGGATCCTTTTTCTACAATTCTGAAAGCCAAAATACTCAGAATGCCAAAATACTTAAAAAAAAAAAAAAAAAAAAAAAACAAATGAGAGCAACTAACTTTTTAAAATTTTAGTAAATATACATAATAAAATTAACCATTTTAAGTGGACAGATCAGTGGAATTGAATATATCCACGCTATTGTGCAACCATCAACACTCCATTTTCAGAACATGTTTTCCTCTTCCCCAACTGAAACTTCATACCCATTAAATAATAACTCCCCATTCCCCACTTCTCCTGACCCCTGGAAACCACCATTCTACTTTCTGTCTCTCTGAATTTACAACATTTGCTTTTGTGACTGGCTTATTTCTCTTAGCATAATATCTTCAAGTTT